GTCTGAGAGATCACATTAGATTCCTCAGATGCAGCAGCAGCTACGACGGCTGCTGCTGCTGCTGCTGCTGCTGCTGCCGCTATTGCAGCTCTTCCTCCTTCCCCGCTTCGCGGCTCTGGAGGGATGCCACTACTTTATTCTGCAGCAGCAGCAGCAGCAGCAGCAGCTGCTGCTGCTGCTATATCTGCTGCTACTCTTGCTGCTGTTGCTGTCCGTCCTACTGTCGCTGCTGCTGCGGCTGCAACTGCTGCTGCTGCTGCTGCTGCTGCTGCTGCTGGAATTTGTCGTCCCGCTTCCGCTGCTGCAGAGGGGTCCGTACCTGCTGCTGCTGCCTCCGCTGCTGCTGCTGTTGCGTTTCTGCTGCTGCTGCTGCTGCTGCTGCAGCTACCTCGTCGCGAGCCTACACATCATACCTCACGCCCCCCACCGAGGGTTTAGGGTTTAGGGTTTAGGGTTTGGGGCTGCGGGCCTCGCGTCAGCGCTCTCTCCCTGGGCCTGCAGAGAAAGGTGGTTTAGACTTGGAAATTAGGGTTTAGGGTTTAGGGTTTAGGGTCTGGGGCTTCGGGTTGCAGGTCAACGCAGCGGGAGTCTGCTGCTGCATTGAAGACGCTGCTGCTGCTGCTGCTGCTGCTGCTGTTGCTGCTGCTGTTACACCTTGAAGAATAACTAGATAAGCAGCCGGAGCGCATACAGAAGGAAGCTTCTGCTGCTGCTACAACTGGTGCTGCTGCTGCAGCCGCTGCTGCTGCTGCTGCTGCTGCTGCTGTCCTGTGAGCCGCCTCCCAGGATATTTAATAATGCTGCAAATATTTATTTCTTCTATTTATAAGTTTTCATTAAATCATTTTTCCTTTTTATTAAGAACAAGACTGAGGTCCAACAGTGCCCGCTCGACGCTGCAGCAGCAGCAGCAGCAGCAGCAGCAGCTGCTGCTGGGCGTGCTGCTGCTGCTGCAGTCGCTGCAGCACGCGCAGCAGCAGCAACTGCGGCGGCTTCTGTCTGTAGGCAGTTCAACGTGCTCCTGTGAGCAGCAGCAGCAGCAACAGCAGCAGCAGAGACGGCAGGAGCAGCAACAGCAGCGGGAGCAGCTGCAGCAACCGCAGCAGCAGCAACTGCAGCAGCAACTGCAGCGACACCAGCAACAGCCACAACAGCAGCAGCAGCAGCAGCAACAATAGCAGCAACAGCGACTGCTGCTGCTGCTAACTTAAGAGGGGTTTTGGGAAAGCCTTTGCGAGTGTCTGCTGAGGTGTACAGGCAGCTCGAGGTGTACGTACACCGCAGCTCGCGGGAGCGCAGCCACAAAGAGGCTCTTTAAAAATAATAATTATCATTTTAATAATAAAAAAAGAAACAAAAAGAAACAAAAAGAAACAAAAAGGAAAAAAGAAACAAAAAGGAACAAAAAGAGGCGAAACTCCACAGACGCCAGCCTAAACCCTAAACCCTAAACCCTAAACCCTAAACCCTCGCACAAGTTTAACTGTAGTCGGCCTCCACTACGTCGGCTTGCACATACGCTTCGACGCACACCTGCTGCTAGTGCTGCTGCTGTTGTTGCTGCTGCTGCTGCTGCTGTCGCTGCTGCTGCTGCTGCTGCTTCTGGCGCCTGCAGCGAGGCAGATCCTGCTGCTGCTGCTCTTGCTGCTGCTGCTGCTGCTGCAGCTGCTGTTCGGTCGGACATTTCAACGGCTATCTTTGTCTAGCTGCAGCGGGCTGCTGGTGTCTCTGTAGATCGGTCTAGGGTTTAGGGTTTAGGGTTTAGGGTTTAGTAGTGCACCGAACAAGGCTCAGTGGTGGGCAGTTGGCGGCTAGGGTTTAGGGTTTAGGGTTTAGGGTTTGAAGGTAAACCCTACACAACCTGGCAAAAGCAGCAGAGCTGCCGGCGAGAGACACATGAACCCTAAACCCTAATGAGCCAGTAAAACCCTAAACCCTAATGAGCCAGTAAAACCCTAAACCCTAATGAGCCAGTAAAACCCTAAATTCTAATGAGCGAGTAAAACCCTAAACCCTAATGAGCCAGTAAAACCCTAAACCCTAAACCCTCGAGCGGAGGCCCCACGCAAAACCCTAGAGATTAACTACAAAGGGCAGATAAACAGCTGCCCGGTTTCCGAAGTTCAGCAGTTAGGGTTTAGGGTTTAGGGTTTAGGGTTTGAGAGGAAAAAAAACGGGGTAGCTAAGCCCTAAACCCTAAAACCCCACACTCTTCAGCTGCCGCCTAAACCCTCGGCCTTGCCAAAACCCAAACCCTAAACCCTTGCACGAACCACCACGCAATGCAGGGGCTGCAGCAGCAGCAGCAGCAGCAGCAGCAGCAGCAGCACAGCATACCCTGAGCCTCTGTTGAACCTGCTCTTCCACCCGCACAGCCTAGGGTTTAGGGTTTAGGGTTTAGAGTTTAGGGTTTGCGCTTTAGGGTTTAGGGTTTAAGGCCGGTCTTGAGGCCCCAGCAAGCCTCCGACCTAAACCCTAAACCCTAAACCCTAGTGCCTAT